CAAAAATGTGCACGACAAGCTATCTCGATCTGTTAAATGGAGAGTTGTAGATGTTTAAAGGACATGCAATTCTTATAATATACAAAATTGTGCTGTACAAGCTATCTTAATATGCCAGCATCTACTATGAAATGAGTTGATTTTGATGCCTCCTTCTGTAGACAAGCTTATTTCAGCAAAGATATGATTCTGAGTAGTCCATTTAGCATTTTAGCTCACATTGGTGCTGTTGTTTCAAACAGCATGGACGCTATGAGTCTAGAACTGTAGAACCCTTGCAAGATTGCCATTTTTCTTCCAATGACTTAACGCTGTAACTATTCATATACTGGAGTAACCCTTTTTTAAAGGGGATTTTAGGAAGGACATTATGGATGAGGGGTTCTCAATTGTGGTTTATTTGGAGTGCAGTCAACCGATGAATTTTTGGCGGTTTTGAACAGTTGGCAGTTGTGGTTAATCGAGAATAGATATGCTGAAAAGTATGAAGGGAATTTTATAAAGGGTACTAGGTTAGCATGTGAATTTGGAAGGATGCAGTACACTTGGTGTTTGATGGTACATCATGAATAGATGCAGGAAAAAGCAATAAAAGTAATTATTTAGAGGGTACTAGGGCAGCATGTGAGCTTGGTCGCTTGGAAGGACTTAGTATAGTAGTTGTTTGAGAAAAGCTGAACTTCAAAATTTTATTGAGATGGAATATAGAAACAGATCTCAGATCTGTACATGTCTGAATTCAACATAACTAAGATAGGTTACCCTAGGATGATTCTGGCAATACCCAAATTGATGCAGAAATTCCACCCCACTCCTGCTATTGAGGAAAACAAGTCTTAATTTATACCCTTTTTCTTTTTTTTCTTTTTTTTTTTTTTTGGTTGAGAATTGGATGTCTTTTTCGTGTTGGTACTTTATATTTTGATTGGTATTCCCATCATGAAGTAAATATCTTAATGTGCATAATTGCATTTGATTGTGAGAACTGTAGGAAATTCTCATGTATTTGTGTTTATCTGCTTCAGATTCTTTGGCCAGAGGGCAAGTTTTTTCTCAAGCTAGAGATAGGTGGGTGTGGATTGGATGAAATGGACAATAAATCTTTTCAAGCTACACCTCGAGCAGCCAGCAGGAAGTCCCAATCTAGTTCATTTGAGATACAACTTGAGGAAGCTCGAAGAGCTAGTTTTGTGAAGAATATGCTTTTCAGTAAGTGCCATCGTTGTGCTGCGTAATTCATGACTTGTAATTGTCTCGTAACCTTGATTTTTGTCAATTATTGTTAGCTCAGTTAGTCCTCTACATCGTTTAATGGAAGTACTTTCTTTAATCTTCCCTCGTATGACTTCTCTGTCAATTAATGACGAGAAATTTGCTGTTGATTGTGCAAATAATAATACTGTTTCTTCTTTTTCATTTGGTACTTGGGTGTGTGGGACTATTTTCTATTTTGAGTGGCTCGTTTTAACTTGAAAAAATGTAGGTTGGTAAAATTTTATGCGAAGGCTCAACTTTTGAGAAATTAAAAATGTGGATCTGCTTTTCTGCTCCTCCTTGTTCCAAGTTTTGTTTCATCCCTTGCATCTGGTCTCGGGCATTTTATGTCAAATTATTATATTTATAATCTTAATAATTAAGCTTTAGTGCATAGTTGTATTGGTATTCTAATTGAAAATACTTGTGGAGGAGGTGGAGCAACAATATAAACTCTAGGCTCCATTTTTATAAGGTTACGAGGTTTACTTTTCTCTCCTCTTTTGATAGATGGAGCTCCAGCACCCCTAGTCAGTATGATTGGTGCGAAACAGTACAAACGATGTGCACGGGATCTCTATTTTTTCCTTCAGGTAACAACTATCATTTGCCTTATCAAGATTTAGGCACACATTTTTTTCCCTCTTTACTTTTATTGCAGTTTGAATGTGCACTTTATATAGAATGTATTTCAAATTTGCAGTCTTCAGTATGTCTAAAACAAGTTGCCTACGCTATCTTGGAGCTCGTGCTTGTATCAATCTTTCCTGAGTTGAAAGATCTCGTGGATGATATCCATCAGAAGATGCAGACTCAACATGCTTAAGAATTAACGGGGGGGGGGGGGGGGGGCGTAAATCATTTGAGATGTGCTTATAACTTTTGGAGGAAATGTTGCAGCTCAGAACAACGTTATTTTTTGAAGATCGTCCATCTGAAAGCTTCTGTGATCTTCCTGAACAAATCAGAAGGCAAGTTTTGGGAGAGATCATAAAAGGCAAGGAAAGAGAAGGTGATCTGATCCATGCTTAGAGTACAAAGACCACCACGAAAAACGAGGCAAGACGGCACTTTTCTGGACTGGGTTTGGATATGGATTTTTATTTTGGATTTGGGTAGAAGGGGTAAAGCTATGGTGTTTGTGTTCAAAGTACAAATGTGTACAGATTTTGTATAGAGTCCCACTTTTGTTACCTACATATTCTTCTCTTAGGCAACCCCCTGAAAAAGGGATTTTGCATTTTTTTGTAAATGTGTAAAATGATGAAACATATATTAGATGAGTGCCATTTCATTGTGCATAGTGAGTTTCTGGATCTTTGTAAGTACCCTAAAAAAGTTTGTGTACTTATCCAAAATTTCATGTGTACACCATTTCCTTAGTTTATTATCAAAACAAGATTCTTGAATTTGGCCTTCAAATGGCGTGTATTCCAAACGTTTGGTGTATGAAATTTTGGTCGCATAGGTGCTAGGGTATCTGATATGAATGCAAAATGGTTAGAATTTTGCATAGACGGGGTATTTGTTTGAAAAATCTACAAGTAGTCAAGTACATTTCGATATACGAAGTCCATGACCTTGAAGGGTGGGTTTAAGTCATACCAAACCAGGACAATAGAGAAGAGGGAAGGGAATATGGGAATATTGTAGATGCATTCTCAAGGAATGTTGTACTTTACCAATAGCCACTTGTTCATTTTCTTCCTAGTTGATGGAGAGATTGTTATATATATTCGGGTGTGCCGTACATCTATGAGTATTTTGTACTCATTTTGATGATTGTTTTTCATTTAATCATCAAATGAAAAGCAAAAACTAACCTTGGATTAGTTGGGTGTATATAACATATTCTCCAATTGATGTGCTTGTTGTGACAAAATGCGTATTCAAAATCGATATCGTTAGAAACTTTAGATTATATATATCAATAATCGACAGATTTCTATGTAAAATCCTTATATATTCTCTTCCTAATTGCAACTTTTTATAGATTAAATGGTAATGATATATGTAATCCTTAAAATTATAAATAACCATTTAATAGAAATGCATTCACGTAGAATCGTAGATTGGTGTAATGATTGTTATACTTTGTACTATATATTACAGTATCATTTTCCTAAAATGAATTATCCATAAATAAAGTTTATAAGTAATTATACATAAGTAAAGTTTATTAGTAATTATACATAAGTAAAGTTTATAAAATGTATATCTTGATACATTAACGAGATGAATTTAATCAGATTTTAAATGACTTTCTATCATGTTATTCCACATCCCTTCTCAGTTTTCATGTGGAGAACATGGGATGTGCCAAAGTTATGTGTCACCATTATTCTAATTTCTAATTACCTAAAACCAGCTAAGTTTAGTTGGTCATAAAGGCTCATAAGTAATTTAATTTCAGTTCATTTCTTAAATTCTTTCTCTTATAAACAATTATCCAATCAATTAATTTCATTTCAGTAAATCAAAACTGGCCCTAAACTATACAAGTGCCACTTAAATTTAATTGTCAAAGCATTGTATTGAGTATTGACTATAACAACCAACTTCTTTCTTGGAGCATGGGATTTTGTATTGAGTATTGAATATTGACTATAATAACCTATCTATGTTATCCTATATTCCTATTGGACTATTGGTATATATTGCTTGCTAATTGAAAAGGTTCAAAAAGTTCTTTCTATTTTTATGTATGATACGGATTAGAAATCCTATAAAGTTCAGTTCAGCTCCAATCAGTTCAGTATATGTGAACAAACCCTTACATTGAAATATGTATTACGAAGTAGTTGACATTAAATCGTACTATATCATTATTTGACATAAATTTAAAATTTAAAATTTACGTATTTTTTTTTACAAGATTTTATACTTCCTCCGTTCTTTTGTTATTGCACCATAAAGGATTTCACGCTTGCCAATGTATTACTTTGGCTATTAATATCTTTAGTTATACTTTTATAAAAATTATAAAAAAATAATATTTTAAAAGTAGATTTTGAGACGAATCTAACTAGATGTCACATGATTATGTTATTCCTGATGGATAAATCACAAAAGACGGTCAAAGAAGATTAAATGAATAGTGTAAAAGTATTTATGGTTCAATAAAAGAAAAACGGAGGTAGTATAAATCTTGTATCACACAGTTCCAACCTAATATATTAAAAACCTACAAAAATTTCAGATAATGCATGTGTATAAAAAAAAACGAGCAAGTAAATCAGTAAGTGGACCAAATACTCTTTATTTCTGCAGTCTTAACACTCTAGACTCTAGAGTAGTCATTTCAGCTTTCAATAATTTAATTGATCATCTTATCAAATGCCAATACCAATGTAACTTATTAACTTGTAATAAATACTCCGTAGTTAAATGTGAAGAGTCAAAAGATTCAAAACTCATACGGCATAAAACTCCAAATACTCCTAGTTCATACGAGGCTACAACTCTAATGGAGGCTACAACTCTAATGGAGTGTTTGTTTATATAAATTTCATTAATATTTGCCCTTAAGTAATACAAATACTTAATAGGACTGGTCAGGGGGTTTTAATTAATCTCTATCCCTACCTTCTTGTGTATTATTAACATTTATATCCTTGTTCACCTAATCGCGTTCATTTATGTTCAACACAAATTCTTGTGTCATTGCTCATCAAACTATATACGTAGAACATCTGAAAATTAACAATCTTGTTCTTATTCATGTACTCCGTAACTTTCGATATGTACAAAATTGACTTGATTGAAGTCAAATGACTTATGAATCAAAGATGATTTGACCTACATTGAATCAATCCATTTTCCACTTCTAAATTTGCTACTTATTCTATTAAAATTTCTCATAAACAAAACCTCAAAAACAATTAATAAAGCTCATATAAAAATGAGTACCGTGTTATGTCTCTTGCCCTCTTGGCTAACTTACATGCTTATGTCTACGTGTCTAGTCCATGGTATATATCATACAGTAAAGTCATACTAAGTCAAAGCATATTAATTTTCTCACGTCCACAATGTCAACCGTTTTAAAAAAAAATAAAAAAAATTACTAATTATGCTCTATATGTTGTTAGTAAAAGACCACTAATTATGCCCTATATTGTTTGTATGCATTTATTTTTCAAAATAGGTCATATCGACAAGATCACGTATCGACAAGACGACAATATCATAAACTAGTTCGAACTAGTGCCATCATTTAACTCCAAAATATCCCTAAAACAAAAACTCCAAAAATCGAAAAAAGAATAAATAAATATTGCATTAGAAAGGCCGAAATACCGCCATTAAAAATTGTCACATTTTTTTAAAAATTTCACCCAAAATTATTTTCCCCAAAAAATTGGAAAAATGCGAAATAAAGGAGGGAAGCTTCTGGCGCCATAATACCAAAATATTCGCAATAAATATATTCTCCTTCATTCATGCACTCTCTACTCTCTGACACATTCAAACACTCCATTTTAGAGAGAGAAATAAAACCCAGAATTTAGAGAGAGAAAGCTTGGTTCAAGCAACAATGGTGATGACCTTGAGAAAAAGGGTTCCTTCAATTGCACCACAATCTGAGTCTGATTCTGAAACCCCACCAAAAAAGAAGAAAACCCAGAAAAATTCAAAATCCACTAAGAGGAGAGAGACTTATTCCTCTTCTGAATCAGAATTCAACTCAAACTCAGATTCTGAGAAGGAAAATGAGCGTTCAATTGAGTATGAGAAGATTCGAGAACAGAGGATTCGAGAAAACAGAGAGAGAATGGAGAAATTGGGGATTTTTACTCTTTCTTCTCAAGTTTTTAATGGTAATCAAAAGGTGGCTCGTCGCAAAAACCCTCCTCCTCAGAAGAAGCGTTACCCTCCTCTTTATCCTCGTGTTCGCGATCGTTCGTATGATTATGCGAGGAGGTCTTCTAGGTTTGTTTTAATTGCATTTTAGTTTTTTAATCCTATTTTTTCCCTTCATTTTCGTTAATTTCTGGGTTTGTGATGATTTTTTGTTTTAGGGTTTTGAAATGTAAATTTTGGGGATTTTTTTTATGGGTTTATCCAATTTTGTCCATTCCTTTGTGGGTTTGTTTATTTTATGTTTATTTAATTCATCGTCATTTGGCACACAAATATTTTGTTGATTTACATACAAAATCTGGGTTAAAAAAGTGTAAAATGTGAGTTGAGAAGTTGGTTGAAAGTATGTAAATTGTTACATTTTATAATTTATATGAGAAAAAGGTTAATAAATCGAATGTTTAGGTAAAGTATTAAAGATGTGAAATAAGCTGATTGAATTTGTGTGATTGGTGTATTCTATAAAAAGTAGTTTGTTGGGTTGATTCTTGATTAATTGTAGTGAGTTGTAACCTCTGGTTTTTTTATTTTGATGGTAAACATTTGCAGGTTGAAGGAAATGGAGACTGAGAAATCATTGAAAGAGATGGGAATTTCGATACCGGAAGATTGGACGACCGAGGTTTATACTGAAGAAGATGAGAAGCTTTTGGGTGATTGCGAGACGATTTGGAGCTTGGAGTTGGAGGCTGATGGTCTAGACGAGGACGGTGACCGGCTTTATGATCTTGAAAGGCCACCTTGTCACCAATGCAGGTCATTTTTATAAAACTAGAGATATCAAGTGTTTGAATTTACTTGTTTGGGTTTGTTCTAAAGTTCAATTTGATCACTAAATTGTATTGAGTTTTCGGATTTGCTGATTACTTCAATGATTCGTGGGGTTGCAGGCAAAGGCGTGCTGGGAAATTTACCTATTGTGGTAAATGTAGGACTCCCCATGGGCAGATATGTGGAGAATGCTTGTACACTAGGTGATTGTTGCTTCATTTTATATGTACAATTGATTTTCAATCCCTAACTTACCAGATAATACTCTTAGGAATGCAATTATATGCTACATATGTTTTGGTCAATTTTGCATATTGAGTATTGCTCCTCACATTTTAGGATATGTTACTATGCTAGGCATGCATTTGGTCTAATTTATTGGTTGAAAAATAATGGGGTTAAAAGAACAAGTTAATGGTTCCTTGAGATTTAGTACTTTTTGGCAATTGGTGAATTTTTTCCCATTAATCCATTATGTAGAAGATGTTTATATCTTGTACAACCCTGTATAAGGGATGCTTATATAGGCAATCAGCGTTTTTCCTTTGGAAGTGTTTGTGGAAGCGGTTGTCTCATATCTGTTGTATTTTAATGTTTGAGGGCTATGCTTGTCTCAGTTGATATGTTTGTTTGCATGGAATTTGTATGGTATCTGAACTTTCTAATCACTGCTTGTTTTCAAGCTCTAAAAGCTTGATTAACAAATGACTGAGATTCCTGTAAAGTTAGTAACTTACATTTGTCTTTGTTGCTTTACATTTATTTTTATGAATGACTGTCCTAAGTTGTGCTACTCTGCTACATGTCTATAGGTATGGAGAAAATGTTCTGGAAGCTCGCCAAAATCCAACTTGGTCATGCCCAGCTTGTCGAGGGATGTGTAACTGCAGCCGGTGCCGCCGGACTAAGGGATGGGATCCAATCAATATTCCACACTCTAAGGTTCAATTTAGACCTCTTAGAATTATCTTTGATTCTCCTAACTATTTTTTGCAAACTTGTGTTGATAGTGTTGACTGTTGAGTGCTTGAACATTGCTTTCTATACACTTATGGGAGACCTAAGCCATGCATGTTTGTTTTGTTTTCCTTTCCATGCCCAATCCTACTTAACCTATTATGTGCATCCGTGACTTGTTGCCTCAGTCTAAAAAATTGCTCTCTTAAGGGAAGCATATTTTGAAAGTTCCGGTTTTACATATTTGAGGTGCAGACCCTTGCTGAGCCCTGAGGGCAAATGTTCCTTTTGTAGGTCATTGAATCAGGATTCAAATCAGTAGCTCATTATATTATCTTAACTCGACGTGTTGGTGCTACACCAAAAGAGTTGAATGATGGAGCTGAGGTGGTTGATTTAACACCGGAAGAGATAGCAGCAGCACCACGTGATGAAGGCTCTGACTATTCTGCTGAGTGGTCAGGAGCTGAATCTGATGATTCTGACAGTGAGGATGAGACAAAGGGTGATAAGAATAACGAGGAGCAGCCTGATAAGAATGATGAGGAGCAGCTTGAGGAGAATCAAGTTGCTTCTGCTGCGAAATCTATCGAAGCTGCTGTTGCTACTGATAGAGATGAAGTTCTTTAGGAGCTTAATTGTCAAAAACTTGCATCTTTAGCCTGAAATGAAGATTGTTCACAGCTTCTTGGTAAAGTTGATACAATAGATTAGCTAGAGTTGCAGTAGGTTTAGTCTTTTGATCTATAGGAGTTCTTGAAGCCTTTTACCCTTATTTGGCTAGTATATACTAGAATTTCCGGTGTAGGATAATGCTGGCTTTACCTGTTTTAGGAAGTTGCATAACTTTTGCAATGAAGTTGCTTATGCCTCCTTGGCAGCTTCTTATCCTTGTATATTTTTAGGTTGTTTGCTTATTTTCCAATTGTCCCGGTTAGCTCGATCTTTGTTTTGGTTTTTGGATTCTTGGGACCCTGGGAGTCAATTTTGTATATAGTTATTTCTTGTTTCCAATGAAAGGCTAAGTTTTGTATTGCATTATTTGACAAATCCAAAACAACTGATATGAAGTCTGCAAAAAATTACCTGAATAAAGCTTAAAGACTAGTGAAATTGTTAGCAAAAAATGAAGTTTGGAGGTGATTAGTAGTTTAGATTAAAAATAATGATTTAGTTTAATGTTTACCGTAATTCTGATGCATTTTCTACTCTGCAAGGCAACAACTTTGTAGAGTATGGAGTATTATTGTTCATTTTTATTCATTTATTTATTTAGAATTGTATGCATTTTTCTCTGAATATATGTTCTTATTTCCGTGATAGACTGATAATATGATAGTTTTTGCTGGCCTCAACAAAAACTGTGATTTTTATGTCGATGGAATGTTACTTGGATAAATTTTTTGTTTACATAGAGGGTAATATAGAAGAGATTTGATCTCGAGAACACCGTTTAGTCGTTTACCAAAACAATAACACAACCTTTTTTTATATTCTATGGTAGATGGAGGCAAATATAAGATCATTAAAATATAGTCTCTAACGAGTTACATGGAGAGTATTTTGGTTATAAGAAAAGAGAAAGAGAAAGGATGTCATACCTCAAAATGTGGAAGCAGATTTTCTATTAATAAGCTAAAAAAAGAAAGAATTTGAACCATAAAAATCATGCTCCTATATTTGGGTACTTTTTATTAAACCAATAATTAATATTTGCACGAGAAAATGCATGAAAAAACAGCATTTTGACCTGAACTTTCATTGTTTTTCATCACAAAATTTGTATTTTCAAGCATGAATATCATACATAATTTGTTGCATATGCATATTATAAGGTGATGACAATAGGAATTCATATGAGATCAGAAACTTAATTCACCAAAAAGATCAAATTTATATGGTATGCATGTAATATGTCATCAACTAGCCCACCAAAGAAATCATCATCTTCAAATAATGCTGGGAGGCCACCACAAGCAGTAAGGTTTGGAAGAAGAACATCAAGTGGACGTATACTCAGCCTGTCTCGAGACGACGATACAATGTCGGTTGACATGGATTACACGGTGGTGATGCCACCAACACCAGATAACCAACCAGGGGTTGAGCAAGGAACAGGAAGAACCTCTAACTCTTCGGCTTCTGCATCTCGTTCCAGACTACAATCCCAACGAGATAGCAATGGTGGATCATCTGGCAAGTTAGATAGAAGAGTATCAGTATTGAAATCCAACAATAAGTCTATGTTAATGAGAAGCCAAACAGGGGATTTCGACCATAATCGATGGCTTTTCGAGACTAAAGGCAAGTATGGGATTGGGACTGCCTGTTGGTCGGATGAAGAAGCTTATGATGCTACCACTGCTGGGATGACCATGGAAGATTTCACTGACAAGCCGTGGAAGCCCCTTACACGAAAAATCAGCGTTCGCCCTGCTATTATCAGCCCTTACAGGTACCTTAGTCCTTAATCAGTTAATCCTTATAATAATGACTTCCAAATTATGTTCATTTTTATGCTCATCATCTATTACATTTGCACAAGGAATGTTACATTAAAAATAGTCATATTATCTTTAATTTTCTTATAAACATGCATCATAAAATGAAGTTTAGTATAGGTAATGTAGTCATCAAATTGTAATAAGCAATTTATTAGTTCAGTGTAGGTTACTAGTGGTGATACGGATGGTAGCGCTGGTTTTATTTCTAACTTGGCGTGTGCAAAACCCGAATGAAGATGCACTATGGTTGTGGGGATTGTCTATTGTGTGTGAGATTTGGTTCGCGTTTTCTTGGTTGTTAGATCAATTGCCAAAGCTCAACCCCATTGATAGAGCTGTAGACCTTGCAGCTTTAAAAGAGAAGTTTGAGCACCCCTCCCCTTCTAATCCTCATAGTCGGTCCGACTTACCGGGTGTTGATATATTTGTATCCACTGCTGACCCTGATAAAGAACCCCCTCTTGTAACTGCAAATACTATATTATCCATCCTTGCTGTTGATTATCCTGTGGAGAAGATCTCTTGCTACATTTCTGATGATGGTGCTTCCATTTTAACTTTCGAGGCAATGGCCGAGGCCATAAACTTTGGGGAGCTTTGGGTGCCTTTTTGTAGAAAACATAACATAGAACCAAGAAATCCTGATACTTATTTCAACCTGAAGAAAGACCCTACTAAGAATAAGAAGAAGCCGGATTTTGTCAAGGATAGAAGATGGATTAAAAGGGAGTACGACGAGTTTAAGGTAAGGATTAATGGGTTGCCGGATGCTATTAAAAAGAGGTGTGACATGCTCAATTCAAAGGATCAATTACAGAGGAATGTTAGTACTACATCTAGTGATAAGGATGGAAATAATGGGGGTAATAATCATGAGCAAAGTGAGGTGCAAAAGGCGACTTGGATGGCTGACGGAACGCATTGGCCAGGGACTTGGTATCAGAAGGCTCCTGATCATGCTAAAGGAGATCATGCAGGGATATTGCAGATAATGAGTAAAGTCCCTGAAATTGATCCTGTTTTCGGTCTTTGTGATGAGAAGAAACTCGATTTTAGTGGTGTAGATATTCGTCTTCCTATGTTTGTGTATGTATCTAGGGAGAAACGACCGGGTTATGATCATAACAAAAAGGCTGGAGCTATGAACGCCTTGGTGAGATCTTCAGCTATACTTTCGAATGGGCCGTTTATCCTTAACTTAGATTGTGACCATTATTTCTACAATTCAATGGCTATTAGAGAGGGAATGTGTTATATGATGGATCGTGGCGGGGATAGGATCTGTTATGTACAATTCCCCCAACGATTCGAAGGCATTGATCCATCTGACCGATATGCTAACCATAATACTGTTTTCTTTGATGGAAATATGAGAGCTTTAGATGGTCTTCAAGGTCCTGTTTATGTAGGAACAGGGTGCATGTTTCGACGATATGCACTCTATGGTTTTGATCCTCCAAGGGCTAATGAGTACACAGGCTTATTTGGGCAGTATAAACAACCAAAATCGAGTAATGTTCATGAACACTCTGATCAAGACGAAGAATCAACATCTGATACACAACGTTTAGCACCACATCCTGACTTAGAACTACCTAAAAAGTTTGGAAATTCAACTATATTTACTGATTCCATTGCTGTTGCTGAATACCAAGGAAGACCTTTAGCTGATCACATATCAGTTAAAAACGGCCGCCCTCCAGGTGCTTTAATCCATCCTCGTCCTCCTCTTGATGCTCCTATTGTTGCAGAAGCAGTTGCTGTTATTTCTTGCTGGTAACATCACTCTACAAACACATTTTCCCCTCATTTTTTAGTTATCACTTTTGTTAGGCCTGATTTTGTCATGAATTTACATTTGTTTAGGTACGAAGATAATACTGAATGGGGGACAAGGATAGGATGGATCTATGGATCAGTGACAGAAGATGTGGTGACAGGATATCGGATGCATAATCGTGGATGGAGGTCAGTATACTGCATAACAAAACGTGATGCTTTTCGAGGGACAGCACCAATCAACCTCACTGATCGATTACATCAGGTTCTTCGTTGGGCTACTGGTTCAGTGGAAATTTTTTTCTCTAGAAACAATCCTTTAGTAGCAACAAGACGCCTTAAGTTCCTACAACGAGTCGCTTATTTCAATGTTGGGATTTACCCTTTCACTTCTATCTTCCTAGTAGTTTACTGCTTTCTACCAGCTCTGTCACTTTTCTCAGGACAGTTCATAGTACAAGGGTTGAGTGTTCCTTTTCTTAGCTACCTTCTTACTATAACCGTCTGTCTTATGCTCCTTTCCCTCCTCGAGGTTAAATGGTCAGGGATCGGATTAGAGGAATGGTGGAGAAATGAGCAGTTTTGGCTCATAGGAGGCACCAGTGCACACTTTGCTGCAGTCTTACAAGGGCTTCTGAAAGTTGTTGCAGGGGTTGAAATTTCATTCACTTTAACCTCCAAGTCTGCTGGTGAAGAGGAAGATGATATGTACGCCGATCTTTATATTGTGAAATGGACTAGTCTCTTCTGTATGCCCCTCACCATCATTGTCATCAACATGGTTGCACTTGTGATCGGGTTTGCGAAAACAGTCTATAGTGTCATCCCACAATGGAATAAGTTTCTTGGTGGATGTTTTTTCAGTCTTTGGGTGTTGGCTCATATGTACCCTTTCGCGAAAGGACTGATGGGAAGGAGAGGAAGGATGCCTACAATAGTGTGGGTATGGTCTGGATTAGTTTCTATTACTGTATCTTTACTTTGGATTACTGTTAGTCCTCCTCAAGGTAATGTGAGTATTTCTAATGGTGCTGTTAAAGTTTAGAAGGGCAGATATTGTAATTGTTCAAAACAATAAAAACTGAAACTTTCTTTTTAGTTTAAGATGTAACTATGTAAGAACTAATTTTCAATCCCGTGCAATGCATGATGAGCTATTAGTCATTTAACTTTTGTAATAATAGTTTGAATATATATAGAACTTTTGAAATTCATAAGTTGATATCTCTTATTTGCTCCTTTGTTTATGTAATTGTGTTTCTTGTTTATATGATTCTTTTTGTTGTTCATCTTATCTCCCATAGTTGTTTTTCACCTTTCTCTCATTATTTCAAAGTGTTTATCCCATCTTCCTTCCTTTTCTTCTAGAGATTGTCATATACAATCGGGTGCACCATACACCAATCAATGAGTATATATATTGTTCATATTTTGATGATTGTTGTCCAATTAATCATCAAATGAGAGCAAATTAATCTTTTGGGTTGGTATACGGTGCATCAGGGTGTATTTAACAAATTTGATTTTCTTCAATTGATTTTGTACAAAGTGTTTTCCTTTTATATATATATATGTATATATATATATATATACACTATGCAATCGATCTTACTGAATAAATAAGCAGAAATATGGATTGGAGAAATCTTTGTGGGATATAATTGCGTATTAACAGTATGAAATGAAACTCTTCAAAAGGTCTAAAATGGTTGGGGAAAAAAAAATCTTCTTTATTACATGATAGTTGAGCATACAACGTTACGATACACGACTTAAATGGTCCCCTTTTAATAGAATACAATACGTTATACATATTGTGCAATCCACGTGTTATAACTCTTATTCGAACTAAACATAGTTATTTTATCGGAGTACATCATTTGGAAAGTCACAAGAAACGCTATTAAATTCATGATAGTAAATTAACATTCATCCTTGGTTTTGTGGTCTCTGAAATGACTTGTAATCTTCAACTAATAACATACACAAGTTGTGCTTGCTCTTGGAACCAATGCAATAAATTTGTACTATAATCAACTAATCAAGCATTACAACAAATGTTATACATAATACATAGTTTCTATATATTCTATTTCCTTGTAAATTTGATCCTGTAAAACTGACTTTTCTATGGATAATTAGTATAATTTCCCAACTCTTTTGTTGATATGGTTCTATTCAATGCTTACAACAAACCATTAGTAAATGTATTCTGAAGACCAGCGAAAAGATTGAAAAGGGAGAAACGCCTCATGTTTTTCATTTCGTACCATGAGTTAAGTACCTCCCCATTTTTATCTGTGCCTGAAAATGTTAGCTGAATGTTAATTGTACAGTCTACAGAGCCACCTTTGTCTTTGCACGTCGAAGATGTCACAGCACACTCTTTGTTTTCATGGCATACTTGATAATCCTTGTTGCATGAATCGCACCCAAACGTTTTCCAGTACAAGTTTTGGAGTGTACCCTTTTCAAAATCAAGTACCTTAAACACAAATTGACATAAATATGATATTAGTGCACTGTAAAGTTATAACCTTTGGCTTGTATGCCCTGATATATCATCACGACTTTAAGTGTAAGTCTTAGGTGAGATCGTCTCACACTGATTTTACTGTGACACATTAAAAGTTGTCCGAAGAAAGTAATTATTAGTCAACCTAAATAATATTTTTGCAAGAATTCAGAGATGGAGCTTACAAGAGTAAATGTTGTTACTATGTTAGTACCATCTGCAACAAAAACTGGTGGTGATCTTGCAGCATACTGTCTTCCAGCAAAGGCTACCATATATCCGCCCGTTGTTTCCTACAAATAAACATTTTCTCATGATCAGAACATTTGCATAAATATTAACCAGCTTGAAAATTCATCAATCATCCAACAGAGAGGGTAAACATACAGGGCTGGAGGTGGAGTTGACAGTAAGAAGGGAGATTTCGTCAACTCTAGGCCTAAAGACCGCGAGTTGAGCTTTGTTAGCAAGCTGAAGGCGAGAGTCACAAGGGGATAACTGAACTTGATCAGGAGCAAAGAAGGATTCCTTAGACGAAAACGCGATGCCAAATGTAAAACCATCCCATCTTTGCACCTTTGCATCAGAGCATGGATCATGCACTGGGTTTGTATCTATTGCCTTTGTTATAGGTGTTATGATCATAACAAATAACATTAACACCACTTTTTTTCCTGAATCTCTGAATAATTCCATGTTTTTTTCCTTGTGAAAAATTTGGCTTTTCTTTCTTTAATCTTCACTTCCTGATCACAAACTGAAACTTAGTATCAGGTTTCAGAAGATCAGAATTTCAGAAATATGATAATTTACAGATTTTGATTTGTTAAGAATAACTTTTGAGAATTAAATGACACAAGTAACATCAATTTCTGTGACAACAATATTTTTTAAATTAATTTGTAGTGAGATTTAATTTATTGAATAAGAGCCTTGAAAAATGAGAAAACTTACCAGTTAATCCTCATTCATTTGTTTGAGAATTTGATTTCTGTTGATTTTATTATTACAAAAAACTGAAAAAAAAAATTGCAATTATTTAGGCTGGCAAGGTGGATCATGTCCTAGAAATAGTTTTTATTTTTACAATAGGCTAGAAATAGTTAGATGTACACATGCTTAGGTGTGCAATTTCCTTGCATTTAACCTTTCGATTGACCATAGACATATGTTACAGAAAATTCGGTTGAAAATTATAATCAATTGTTACGCACATAGTGTAATTTGAATTGGTGATGACCAATTTTGGATATGGATGGAAACTTGTGTGGAAGGATATAAGAAAATCAAATACTTGAACTAGTTTCTTAATAATTACTCCATATATTTCCCCAATGACCCAAAATAACTGCTTATTATTGTTTTAGGAAACTTTAATACTTCGTAATTTTTTTCTACTTAGAATTCATACTTAGTATATATGATGATTAAAAAATAATAATAATAAACTCATGAAAGTTTTTTTTTGGGTTTAAAAAAAGGAAATTTTGAGTTTTACCACCAAAAAATTTCAACAAATTGTTTTTTACCACCTACTATTTTCAATCTTTTATTTTACCACCAAATAAAAAAATTAAAGTTGTTTTTTACCACCTTTACCTAATTCCGGTGACTGAAAAGTGCTGTGGGGCCCACCCTTTTTAATTTCCCTCCAATTTTATTTACACCCACCCCGATTTTTTCTTCTGTTGATTAACCCCAACCAACTTCATTTAATTCCTCTAACTTTCTCACCTTCCTCTCATTTAGTACTCTGAATTTCACTCCTCTTCTCACTCTTCTGACCCTAAATTTTCCTCTTCCCATTTGAATTTTGATGTTGCTGTTGGAGTAACGAAGAGGTGGCACCACAGAAACCGTACAACTCAGCTTCAATTCGTCACTTTCAACAAGGGGGGACCTAAAGTGTTGGACTTTACTGACATAGATTCGAGATTCTGACAAAGCAAGGTACTTTTAGCATCTTAACTGTAGTTAGTGTGTGTGATTGTGGTGTAATTGTTGATTTTATATGCTAAATATGGGGTGTTGTGGACTTTGTGTTGATTAACCCTAAAATTCGAATCTTAGACATGTGTGGATGCATTATGCTGTGATTACTGTATAATTAAAAATTAGGGTTATATATTGTTGGTATGTGGATTTACCATTGAGTCTGTGGTTAAGCTTTGACCTGATTGATATATTAAGTGTTTAAAGACTTGTTTGCATTGAACACTGTGTAAAGTATCAGTTACATTAATTAATGAATTATTTGGGACTAAATTGAGTTATGTTATGTTTATGTGTTGTGTGTGTAGCAGAATGAACAAAGTCCAACTTAAACTGACATTGGGTGGTGCTTTTATACCTTCTTTAATTGGAAAAAAAAAAGAAAGAAAAAGAGGCTATTAAGCTGGGATGGGGGATGGGTATACTGGAAGAAAAATGTGAATCCCTCCAAGATTGATGTGCATTTTATAAGAGAAGCTGCTGTCCATGGGTTTGTGTCTGTTAATGTACAAGTCCCTACTAAGTTTAGTTGCTGGTATAGACAAAAGGGGAGGACATTTACAACTGGTAAAAGGGAGTTGGTGAACAGTGAAGAGATAAAAGGATTGTTAGATACAGTGAACGGGGAGGGAGTTATTGAGGTGTTTGTCACAAGTGGGGAACCAATCCAGGCCACTCCCATTACACCTTTTCATATTTATGATGGGAATTCTATGAGTGCAAAAGAAAGAAATAAGTTGAGTAAAGATCCATTTGTGCCCAAATTAAAGCCCAACCCAGTTACTTCCAGCCCAACAATAAAGGCCCTTACTGAAGAACCACTTAGGAGAAGCCCTAGATTATCTGTTAAAGGTAGGGATAAGGTTGATGCAGCAGCTAAGAGGTTTAGTGCTACAGATAAGGGGAAGGGAAAACTAGTTGAAGAGGAGGTGGAAGGTAGTGAGAGGAATACAGTAAGTAGGGAGTTGTTTAAGGATGGTGAAGGGGACTATAATCTTTCAGATTTGTCTGATAGTGAGCTTAGTGACCCTGATGTAGATTGGAGTGAAGGAGAAGAAGAGTTTTATGATGCTGTTGATGATGATGAGTGGGTGAGACAGAATACAGAGTTGGTGAACAGGGAAGTGATTAGGTGTTTCAGTGAAGAGAAACAAGATTTGCAACAAAAACAAGCTGGTGCAGGAACTGAGATTGAAAGGCATTTGAGGGAGATTGATATCAGTTTCCAGCAGGAGCAGGAAGAGGATTCTGATGAACTTAGGAGTGTTCATAGTGATTCTGATGTTGAGGAGTGCATAGGCCCATGGTTTAATGGGGAGACTGATTTTGGAAAGCCTATTCAGCTTGTGCAAGGGCTGAGGTTCAGCAATGTGTATGTACTCAGGAAAGCTTTGAGAGTTCATGCTATAGAAAATAGGTATGAGTACTATTTTCTTCATAATGACACCAAGAGGCTGACTATACATTGCAAGAGGAGGTGCAACTGTGTGTATAACAAGAAAACTTGTAGGCTGCCTAAGTGTGTGTGTAGGAAGAGTGTTAAATATCCATTTAAGGTGTATGCTGCAAGATTGGTGAAGTCAGAAACTTGGCAAATCAAGTCACTGAGATTGAAGCATCTTTGTATGAGAACAAAGATGAATAAGAAAGTTACAGATGAGTTCTTAGCTGATAGATACTTAGAGGAGTTTAGAAGCAATCCAACTTGGAAGATTAGACAAATACAGGAGAGAGCTTTGACTGATTTGGGAATTAAAGTGAGCTACTTTAAAGCTTGGTTGGCTAGGTGTAGGGCAAAGCTAATTATTTTTGGGTCTTCAGCTGAGCAGTATGCCAAGGTATGGGACTATGATAAGGCATTAGTGGTGCACAACCCTGGGACTGGTTGTGTGGTTGTTGTAGATGGGATAGAGCAGCCTGAACCCCCTCTTTTTTTGAGAATGTTTGTGTGTCTTGCACCATTAAGGGATGGTTTTGTTAGTGGATGCAGACCAATTATTGGAGTAGATGGCTGCCATCTTAAGGGTGCTTACCCTGGCCAAATTTTAGTTGTTGTAGCTAAGGATGGTAATAACCACATATTTCCACTAGCATGGGCAACTGTGGAAATTGAGAACAAGGACACATGGTCATGGTTCCTTGAGGCATTGGTAGACAGCATTGGAGGTCAAGATGAAGGTGAAGGGTTGACTTTTATGTCTGACAGGCAGAAAGTAAGTTGATAAATTTCCAGGTTGACTTTTATGTTTTTTTAGTTTGAGATAGGTGTAGCATACTAATTATTGTGTAACTTTTTTTGTGTAAATGCAGGGCCTGCTAGAAGCATTTGAGAATGTTGTACCTAAGGCTGAGACTAGGTATTGTGTTAGACACATCTGGTCTAACTTCAAACAACAATTCCAAGGATCTCTATTCAAAGAGCTATTTTGGAATGAAGCTAGGGCTTACACTCAGGTATAATAGTTAAATCCTCCTAGTTTTGTTGATTGTGAGTTTCTGGTTTTGGTTAGTTCCATTTGATTTTTACTGTGTGTGTCTTAATTTAATATTATAATGCATATGGTCAGACTGATTTTGAAGTGGCTATGGAGTCTATAAACTTTTTATCTGAAGAAGCCTATGATTACCTAGCAAATATCCCCCCAACATTGGTCTAGACATGCATTCTCCCCAACATGTAAGTCAAACATGTTGTTAAACAATTTGTGTGAGACTTTTAACGCTATTATAAGGGATGCTAGGGATAAGCCAATCTTAACACAAATGGAATGGCTTAGAAGATACATGATGAAGAGGACCAATGATAAATGGATGGCAGCCTCTGAATGGGAAGGGTTGTGTGTTCCTTATGTGAAAAAGGTGTTTGATGGGTTGGAAAAGTATGCAAGGACATGCACTGTTCAGTCAGGTAGGGGTGAGCTTTATGAAGTGGAGTATAAGGATGATACATGTGTTGTTAACCTTGAAGCAAGGACATGTACTTGTTACAGATGGGATTTGACAGGATTGCCCTGTGTCCATGCTTTTGCTGCTTTGGTGGATAAAAGGGTTGATCCAGAGCTTTATGTCCACCCATACTACCACATAGAGACTTACCTGGATGCCTATGAGACTCCCATTCAGCCCATGCCTGGAGCCAAGCATTGGGATAAGGTGCATATGAGAGAGCCTATGCCTCCAGCTTTTAAGGTCCAACCTGGGAGACCAAAAGCTAAAAAGAGGAAGCTTGAACAAGGGGAGGGGAGTTCTGCACCTAATTCAGAGAACAAGAAAGTGAAGAGAAGGAATCAATGCAAGAAATGTGGGGGTTTTGGCCATTATGCCAAAACTTGTTCTCTAGATCATGCCCCTACACCAGTTCAAGTTTAGAACACAGCACCATCAGGAGGTAGGCCAGCATTGGACAACCCTTGGATGAAGGAACAGAGGAGGAAGAGTGAATTGAGAGCTATGAAAAAGGTAAATTCACTTACACTATTTTTGATACTTAGATTGTCATGTGTACTGTACCTATTTATTGATTATGAATGTATGTATACAGAGTGCAGCATTAGGAGCTACTGCAGGACCCAATAGCATTGGAATCAATAAGTTTCCTCAAGAATTGGCAAAAGAAAAAGCAGTTGAGGCATCTTCTGCTTGTAATGCATCTCAGCCAACTGAGCAAGTGCAGCCTTCTACAATGGAAGCATCAGCAAGCCAGCCCATGACTAGGAGCAGAACAAAGCTTACTGAAACTTCCCACACCTCAGCCTCTCAGCCTCTTCTCAGACAGCAGAATACCAGGCACAAGTTATCAGTATCAAAGGGTTTACATCAGCATCAATTCATGCACAAGGATGATATGTGGGAACTTGGCCATGATATGTAATTTACTGCCTTAAATTTGGTTTACTGTAGACAGACAAGTGGTTTTTTTTTTTTTTATTAGTTTGCTTAAGTATTTGAACAACTAAGGGTGGCAAGTCCATCATTTTGTGCACTTAACTATTTGGAATGAACAATATTAACTAGGGCAGGAACCCTGATTTTGTAGTATGTTGAACCACTTCTAAAATATAATCTGATCAGCACCTGTTTATAACATTTGCATATGTAATTAGATTCAATTATTTTCATTTCAGTGCATAACCAAATTTTCATTTCATTTCATAACCAATACAACAATAACACAACATCCTTATAACAATTTCACAATCAATTGTTCCATTCCTAAAACTAAACCAACAAAACAAATAACAACAAACACAACAAACAGATTCATAGATGATGTCTTCCTGCCTTCAACCTCCTGTGTCATCTTTTTCCTATCAGAGCTAAGGGCCTTGCATTTCAATTTCAAGCTATCAATCTCATTCAGCAAGCATCTTCTTTGTCCACAAAAATCATCAACTTCTCTCTTTAAGTCAGCATGCTCACCCTTCATCAACTTCTTATCCAATAGCAAGTTGTTAATTACTTCAGTTTGCCAACTTGTGCCATCTGGTTGATCAATCCACTCAAATGATTTACAGCCCCTTGATTCAGTCACTGGATCATAGAATTTGCAAGATCTAAACTTCCTCCCAGGATTTTCCCTAGTCCAAGAAGTTAACCTTGCAAAGGGTACTCCACATTGGCATTTCCTCTCTTTTGAAGGAGAAAAACTTAAGGAAGACATTCCTTCTGCAAAATGACACTTAGCAACTTCAATAGTAGTACATAATCACCTTAATTAGCTTTCCATACACCTAATTTCTATTAACAATCAGTAACTCATAAAACCCCCAATTTCAATTTTAATATGAACCCTAATTTAATAAAAACTGAATGTGGGTTTCAATTGCTAACTTGTTTTGACCAAATTCTGGATTAATAACCTCTACATGAACGAATGAACAAATTAATTGAATCAATCCTTTTATTTAATCAGCTAATTAAACTTGTGCATGACATACCTTAACTGCTTCAATTCCCACTGCTAAAGCAAATTCGTTTTCAAATCTTTAGATAACTGATGATTTATGGCTGATTGCTTGATGTTATTGCAGTACATTGAGAGAATTGGTATAAATCGAATTTTTGGAACAACAAATGATGAACTAGGGGTTTTATAGGATAGAAGATCGTGATTGAAAAGGGTAAAAATAAAAAAGTATCCGTTTTAGTGGGCCCCACAACACTTTTCAGTCACCGGAATTGGGTAAAGGTGGTAAAAAACAACTTTAATTTTTTTATTTGGTGATAAAATAAAAGATTGAAAATAGTAGGTGGTAAAAAACAATTTGTTGAAATTTTTTGGTGGTAAAACTCAAAATTTCCTTAAAAAAATTTCTGACAGAAAAAGTTGTTTTTTTTTATTTTTTATTTATTTTTTATAATTACTCTGCAGAATAAGATTGTGGAGTTTTTCATATGATTATCTAAATTTATTTATTACTCACACCAATTCCTCAACTCCCCAAATTTCATAAGTCACATCTTCATGACCTCATGCATATTAAGATAATTGTACAAAAAAAGAACTATAGATAATAATTGCACCATTAAGTTCTATTCCTAAATTAGAAACAGCTCCAGCTAAGAATGAGGACAGCAAATGTTCACTAGACTATTTATTTTACTACCTTGGGTAATATACTCAACAGATCATGTAAAATACTGAAGTATTACGCAACATAATGTTATAGAAAAACCTTGATGTACAACAAGTTGTAACTGCACCAAACAACATCAAGATGATAGCACCACATCCGATAAGGCGTTACTTGGTTGCATACAGGTCTTAATCGGTGTTAGGATGGATAATTTGAACTTTGATCCGTCGACAAGTATTTGTGGTGGAGGGTATCAACTCACAGATGACAATGTCGTCCTTCATAACATTGTTGAACATGCAGAGCTGCTTCCAGAAATTAGTGATTGCGTGCCGCCCATCTTTCCATATGGCTATCTTTCCATCATGAAGGTTCCCTTTTGGATCTTGAATCTTTATTCTGTTGCCAAATTTTAGACCATAGCCCTTTCGAATAGTGTGTGGTATAGTCTACAAAACACAACAGTTTGTATCATGTCCAGAAACTGAAGTCACGCTATGAAATGTAAACAAAAATAATGCCAATTTAAATAGAAGTGTTACCACATCCTTTCTCCCGTTGATATTTTTGAATTTTGTAACGAAAAATGGGTTGTCTGATGGGAATAAGTCTGTTATTCGTTTTTCAAGGTTCATGACATGGGATCCAGTGACTGAACCTAGAAGAACAAAAAACGAAAAAACGTTAAGACAAGAAAGGTAATCCAATTAAACAAAAATGTAGCTGGAAAGAACCAAATTTATCTTAAGCCAATGATGCATAATTCTTACGGTTACTTCCCCTGCCAAATACCCCCCCTATTGCCGAATTCATAGGTTGGTCCATGACTACTTCCTCTTCATCTTCCTCTCCTGTTGGAAGCTTTGTTTCTTCTTGAATAACAGAAGAAACAACTTTTTGCTTCTTGGACTTGTGAGAGTTTAGAATTTTTATGTCAAATGCAGAGTGTCCATCATACTTGAACACCATAAATTCTCCTCCTAGTAGTGGATAACTCGAGACAAGCATAGACCACCCACCTTGAAAAAACATGCCAACAGTCATCATAACAATCTCAGAGGACAACTTTCTCAGGGATTTTCTTGCTTAAATGTTCCAGAAATGCATCTGGAATTCTCTGTGAGCACTCAAATTACATAAAAAAAAAAAAAAAAAAAAAAAAAAATTCTCAAAAATATTCATGGGTAACTTTAAAAGGCAGAAAAGTCATATAATCAAATAACAGGCCAGCCAAAATTTCACTTCATAGTTAACTCTATGTAGGTAAAAAATGGGAGGGGAGACCATACCAGGTTCTGAGTATTATGATCTGGATGAAAAGTTCGGAAGAACTCCGGATGTTTATCCTCTGAAGAACCCATCTTTTAAGGTTTCAAAAATCTTCCCTGACTTACAAACCTCTTATCTCTCACTCTCTTTAGATACTTTGATTGGTGTCTTCAATTCTGGAGAGAAAAATCAAGAAAGGTGGTTGAGAGTTTGAGACAGAGTCATATAACTAGGTTTGAAGAGAACAAAGAAGGCAAAGCAAAGAAAAGGAGAATCATTACAAAGAAGGATGGAAATTCCTTTTTTAGTGTAGTATTATTCTTTTTAAGGCATGAAGCTTAAAATAAAGCAGACTTCTGTAAGGTCTGGATTTAAGTAGTTTCTATTAAATCTCAGCTCTCACCGCGGTGTTACCAGACTCCACATGCACTCAGTAAAACACCACAGACCTGAGAATGAGGTTGTAAAGTACAAAGGCTTCTGAGTTATCACCAGCTGGCCCCTGACTAGTCAACCTGAACTACCAAGCAGCTCTACTGAGTATTAATCAAGCATAATTCCGTTAATTATCTACAATGCTCCTTCTTTAATCCATATATATGGTGGAAAATCTAAAGACCTTCACTTATAGTATGAGCATGATTACAAAGTGCAAGCAGACAAGAAGTATGGCAAAACAAAATTGGATATTTTGAATAAAATCTAAAGTCTTCCATTCTACGTAGGAGACCAACTGTATCACTACTTCCCTAGCGTCCCACTCACTCCCATAGTTCTAGTCGTACATTCTAACACATAATATCATATTTCTCGATTCACTAAATATATATTTCCTACTATCTGTCATCACCACAACAGGTATACATGCTTCTGAGTGCAGATCCACAAACACATCCTTACCAGATAGAAACTTTACTTACAAGAGCAGTGGAATAAAAAAAATCATGTACACTTATCAAAAACCTTAGAATTCTATTGCCTTGCTCCAGTACTGATTAAATCAGAAAATCAACAGTAGAGTCCAAGCAACCAATTCTTTAACAATCATTTACCAAAGACATACCCTAATTCGTAATAAAGATTAAAAGCAGGCCACACAGCCCCTACCTAATTTTTAAAGATATGCAGATATCCTCCTAAATTTATAATCGAGGAAACAGAATCGAAATAGCTTCAAAATTACACTCACTTGGAAAAACATAAGTGCAACAACATCCTACATGGAGAAACTAACAGCCGGACTCCCACACAAGTGAATAAATGCATTCCCATATTAATTCTAAATTGAAACACCGCAAAACTTCTATACATCTACACAAAATAATTTCAATCACTCCTATAGTCCTATGAGTCTATGACCACTATATGAAATCTTCAAATCTATTATATAAATAAAGAGTTACATAATACTCATGAAAAAGAAACTTAAGTAAAGGATTTAAAGTGACCAACCTGATTTTGTTATGTGAAAGAAATTGATCAGCCAATGTAGCAACTCTTCCAGGAGTAGGATTACTTTTTTTTATTAGAGTCTGAAATGTGGAATAATCATATCATTACAGCTTAAATTTGTTTTAAACCAAAAAAATACTTCATAGTTCATAAGACCAAACTACCCATGTTGAAAGAACTATACCATTAACTGGGTGAAAAAAGAAAACGCAAAGAGAAAAAAGGGAGCATCAGCTTGCTATTTCAGCCTCACTCTAGCAAAATATTTAAGGGTGTTCTTAAGGTTAAATAAAACCTATACGCATATCTCATAATATGGGGCCTAAATCTTACTTTTCTGGGTCAGAAATAAATTAATATCTATCGGCTATCGCATTCAAACGTACCACAAAGTTTCCATCTAAGGGGTGTTAGGGACCACAACTATATTATTCAAGTTCAAATAAGGTTTAGTGATAATTTTAGCATCATTTTGGTTACACAATGGACTCATTTTCTTTCTTTAGTGAGGTGTGATAAAAAAGATTACTTTTCTCTATATTTATTGTATGACAAATCGCATTGTATTCCTAATACAAAGTGAGCATAACTGCTGGAAATTCGCTAGTAATAACTCTCTTTCAACCAGTAGAATCAACTCAACAAGCAAGCAACAACCTCGAGTAATATTAGCAGATACAGAAGTACAACTCACTCACAGCAGTAAATGCCAATAGTTGGTAAACAAATATTACAAGTGAATTGGCTTATAGCATGGATAACTGAGCGACACTAGAAGCATATTAGCATTGAGCAAAGTTATACACATATTTCTGCAATTTAGATTCAAGTTCATATCATGTGTTTGGACTTTGAAGTTTTGAGACTGAGTCAAATAACTAGGTTTGAAGAGAGCAAAAATGACAAAATAAGAGAATCATTATTACAAAGAAGAAAATTCTGGCACGAGTACAAGTTTAAAATAAAGCAACTGTGTTTAAGGTACAGCTTAAGTCGTTTCTATTAAATCTCAGCTCTCACCTCAGAGTTACCAGGTTCTACATGCACTCAGAAAGCACCATAGATCCGAGAATGAGGGTGCAAAGTACATGCATCCCAAATTCCCAATTACTTCAAAACTGCAATACTGCATTCCATCACTCCTATAACCGTTATCTGAAATTTTCAGTTCTATTACATATATAGACTCGAGAACTCTCCAAAACTACTAGGATACAGAATAATCATGATAAGGATACTTATAAAAAGGATTTTGAGTAAAAAAAAAAAAACTGATTTTCAAACATATGAGAGAGATTGACCATCTGCTGTACCAACTCTTCCAGGAGTAGAACTACTTTTCCTTAAGAGTCTGAACACTCTGAAATGGTAAAAATCATATCATCATAACTTATACTGACCAAATTAAATCAGTCCATATGACCAAATTACTCAGTTTTTGAACTAGTAAAGTGATTTTAAACTTTAAGAGAAATAAATATCAATATGTACACAAAAAAACATACTTGGATATTCTGTCTTGGCATGAAATGAGGGATATGAAATTGAACCAAGTAACCAACCATAATTAGCAAAAATATCTGAACACGAATGGACAAGGCTGACATGGTCTCACACTGAGTACAGTGAAAGTGTGAAACACAAGCTTGCTAATTTAACTCAATCAAACTATACCCAGGGTCTTTCTTTATTCCCTTAGATCTTCGTACTGTGTGAGACATCTCCGTGCCTTCCCAATCACCCATGGAGGAGTACAAATTTGAAACAGAGCATAAGTGACCAACATCTGTGACATCCAGTTTAAGTAATTGTTTATAAATCTCAGTTCCCACCTCAGTGTTACCATAGACATTACATGAACTCAGTAAAGCACCATAAACCCCAGAATGTGGCTGCAAAGACATCCGAGATATAACCAAATGGGCCTCATCTAGTCGTCCTGATCGTCCAAGCAAGTCTACTAGACAAGCATAATGCTGTGAATTGGGAACTATGCCTCTTTTCTCCACCATATGATCGAAAATTTGAAGACCTTCATCAACCATACCAGCATGACTGCAAGCAGACAAGACAGAAACAAAAGTAGATTCATTTGGATTTAATCCCAAGCCTTCTAATCTCCATAGGAGATGAATAGCATCACTACCATTTCCATTCACTCCCACAGCTCTAATCATAGCATTCCAGCACGTAATATCCTTTTCCTCCATCCAGCTAAAGTAGTTTTTCGCACTGCCTAAATCACCACAATTTGCATACATGCCAATGAATGCAGAGCCAACAAACACATCCTTGCTAAACCCTCGTTTGACTACAAGCGCATGAATCAGTCTACCTTGCGGTAAAGCTCCTGAAGAGCTGCAGCTTGAAATCATGCTTACAAGAGCAGTTGAATCAAGAGACATATAATGTACACACATTAACTCACTTAAAAGTATAATGGCCTTACTCCAACACTGACAATATGAGAATGCTTTCAACATTAAAGTCCAAGCAACTATATCTTTAACAACCATTTCATTAAAGACACCATAAGCTTCATCAATAAAGCTACCACGTGTATACAAATCGATAAGAGCAGTTTGAATTTGCCGCTCTTTGCTATATCCTATCCTTAGAATCAAGCCATGAATTGAACTGCTTATTCTTCCTCGACTAGGTTCTGAACAAGCCAATATCAAGCTCATGATGGTAAAATAATCCAAAGAAACCCCATTCTTTCGCATTACATTAAAAAGGTACAGTGCATCATCACCCATCCCATTATTAGCATACCCTGTAATTATAACATTCCATGAAACAACATTTCTCACAGGCATTTCGTCGAACAGATTCCGGGCAATACTCATTCGCCCAAAACGACAATACATATCAATTAAAGACGTCTCAACAACAACATTATGCTCAAATCCACGCCGAACCCAGAAACAATGAACCGATTTACCCATCAAATCCAAACCCAGATTCGCAAAAGCTGGTAAAATGCTTGAAATTGTAACCTCATTAGGCATTAACCCACTTCCCACCATTTTACCAAATAATTCAACACCCTCATCAAAAAACCCTCTTTTCGTAAACCCAGATATCAAAATCGTCCAAGATACTAAATTTTTTTCTGGGATTTGATCAAAAAATTTCTGGGCATTGGAAATCAAACCAGCAGAAATATAGGCATTCATCAAATTGTTGGAGAGAGAAACATGATTAGAAGTTGCGCCAGAAGTGAAAATTTGAGCATGTAATTGAAGGAGAATCCTGGGATTTTTTACAGATTTAAGAATTGAAGAGAAAAACGAAGGAGATTGATGATGATAATGGTGGGTACAGTTGAAACGAAGAAGGTGAAATGCAAAAGCAGTTATTTGGCGGGAAATAGAAATTGTAAGAATTTTCCGATTTAACATTTTTTGTTTTGATAATGTGATTGTAAAATTAATCATGGATTATTTCCTTTGTTTTGTCCTCCACAAGTCCAATATTGTGGGCTTGGCCCATTTTAAATCAAGCCCATGTTTCAAAATTGAGTTGGTTTGTTTAGCTTATTTTTGCGGGATCCCGTTCTAAAATAATAGAGTACACCGATTTTAGAATAACCCACACAATCAAGTTTAATGAATTTGCCAATGCATTGGTTTTGACTTAAATAAATACAATTAAGTATGAGTAAAACTTATACAAAAAAGTTATAATTATAAAATTTTATTGATATAAACACGCGTAACATTTTACATGATACCATTTTTGAAAGAGTACATTAGTAAAGAATTATGGTCAAAATGAGCGTATGAGTAAAATAAAAGCCAAATCGTGTAATTAAAAAATGACAAAGTATAAGTGCATATGAAGTTAATTATTGCTAAATTATAAGGTAATTGGCATACAGTATAAAATTATGCTTGATTAATCAAAATTATTAGTTACTCAAACTATTGAAGTACAAATTTCTTATACAAAACGTCAAAACCCCACCTCTAGAAAAACAAAAATAAAATAAAAATGGCAGCATTAATTTTGTGACTTCCCAGTACATTATTACTCCATGCCTGTACCACCTTTGAAATCTGACACCTTAACAGTCATAACACTATTGTCATCATCACTATTACAGTTTACTGTTTTATTTACCCTGAAAATACTGAACAAAATACTACTGTACGTACATATAAGTTGGACGTATAATCAAAGTATCTTACTTTTACCAGTAGTTCAAACTTCAAAGTGTCGAAAAAAAATGTTGAAATTAAAGAAGAAGAAAGGAAGAACAGATGAAGGGTGCAATAATAAGTTAGAGATTGATTCCTACAAATTCTTCAAAATCATCCTCCCTCACACTCTTACCATAATATTCTGGTAATTTATTCTTCTTTTTTTTAAAAAAAAATCTTTTCATCGTGGTAGACTTTTTATTTTGTAAGTTTATTTTTATAATTGATTGTAAGACATGAGAAACTTCTAAGGAATTGCATGTCCAAAAAAAAAAAAAGAGCTGTCTTAAAATAACAAGAAGTAATTTCTAGCTTATTATTGGGAACAAGTGCTCCATCTTATGTGAATTTTTCAATTTATGTAGCAATTCCTAATAATAGGATTAAGAGTAAAGCTATGAGAGTGATGAATAGCTGAAGTGGTTAGAGTTTTTCTTCCGATTTAAGAGATCTAGGATTGATTCTCACCCCCGCCCTTATGGCCCTTTAAACAACAACAAAATAAATAAATAATTTTTTTTTTTTAAAAAAAAATAAAAATAAAAAAAAAAGAGTAAAGTTATATATGTACTTACATTACCAAGCTTGCATATAAGCATTAAATATATTTAAATTGATTTATATATAAGATAATACGTAGAATTAATTAGTTTATGACAAAAACACGTTTAGTTTAATGTATACTTTATATTTTTTAACGGGATTAGATAGATGTATTAAATGCTTAATCACTTAATCATACTCAATTAGTTTATTTATATGTTATCTTATTAGTAATAGTTTATGGGAAAATATATACTGGTATTTTCTTGACTTTTTGACAATGGTTTTTGAGTCAAACTGAAGAGTTGGAGTAACATAATTTTCTACTAGGAGTACAATACAACAGAGTTACACTTACACATATATTCCATAATGCATATCTAAAAGTACTAATACTATAGTACAAATTCAACAAAATGTAATTGAGTCATACACAATATGTTATACTTGTATAATACAAATATTCTTTGGCAATTTTGGGACAAAAACAGAGGATTCCAGAGACATTTGCAAGGGGTTTCAGCAGTCATCTCCCAACATTCGCAACTCTAACTATTCGAACCGGTCTTTCGTGGAAGATTGAACTCGAAAGAATCGACAACAAGCTTTACCTTACTCAAGGATGGGCTATATAGATAGCGATTGCATAATGTTGGGGAGTAACAACATCAACCCCTCCTTCACTGTTGTAGTGCGAAACTATAATATCTCGTCGTCTAGTTGTTACCTGGTGAGCCTTCAAGCTTATGTTATACGAAGTACTTCCTTTTGTTAGTTGAAATCTTTCTGTTATCACGTTTGCCAACACATGTTAACGGTTAATAAGTTCAATTATCACAGTGTAAAATTATAAAAAGTGGATTTTAATAATAAACGATTCAAACAAGATCTTACATGAATATATTTTATTACATCTATAAATCACAAAAGCGGGTAAAAGTGTAGTCTGTAAATAATGTAAAAGTCAAACGGTGTCAACTAAAAAAACGAATGAAGTATTACTATCATTAATTAACACTTACTTTCGTATTTTTTTGGATTATTATTCTCAGCGCATACCTAAGAGATTTAGCAAAGAGCACATGAAGGAAAGTTTGTACGAATTTGTCACGTTACAAACGGGTGATGGAAGGGAGTGGTGTGTAAATTGCCATGTTTATGAGGATGGTTTCAATTTGAGTGGAATAATTTGGAAGAAATTCATGAAAGAAAACCAGTGGGACGAACATGAAGGAGAGGAATACACGTTCGTGATGGTGGACAAGAAACGATATAATGTAACGTTTAAAGTGATCAAAGAGTTGATCGATCATGTCTTTGAGAACTAGAAATAAATGAAAACATTATGAGGGAAATTCCTAATGCAATAATTATCTGTCGTCTGTAATATAGCTACTTTTTAATTATGGTGATATTCAATCTACATTTACATTTGATAATTGTGATTCATGATTATGTACAAAATTGTACGTTTGAAAAATAGTATCCAAAGCACAAGAAATAAACTTATGGTATTCATTCTCTTTAAAAATGAATAAACTAAAGAACATATTAATCAGAAAAATATTGTTGATAAGTATATTAGGTGACTCGTACTTCGTAGCTTTGTCCGCCCGATCGGGCGGACATTGCCCGGTCTGACCGGGCGGAAGAAGAAGAGGTGCCTGGCAAATTCGTTGAAGAAGCTGCTCTCGCGCCCGACCGGGCGAGCCTTCGCCCGACCGGGCGAGCCTTCGCCCGATCGGGCAGACCTTGCCCGGTCTGACCGGGCGGTGGGGGTTGGATACGTTGAAGCATTCGTATGGAGTTTTCTTCTCGCGCCCGATCGGGCAGACCTTGCCCGGTCTGACCGGGCGGAGAAGGAAAAATACGGAACGCGGATTTTGCGGTTTTAGGTTATCTTATTTTATTATCTTTTTGCCCAAGTATCTTTTAATTAGGGATTAATATAAAACCTCCCTAATATCAGTATTAGGGTGAAGAGAGACAGAGTGAGAGCCGTTCTTGAGAAATACAAGAATCATCTTTGTAATCTTTGCAGTTTATAGTGAAATCATTCGATCTCGGTGCCCGTGGACGTAGCTATCACATCGATAGTGAACCACGTAAATTCTTGGTGTTGTTCTTATTGTTTGCATTGAATTTCTTTATTGTTTTCTTGTTTGTTTTCGACCTTTGCTTCCGCTGTCGCACAACAATTGGTATCAAGAGCTCAGGTTCAATCCTTGGAGAGTTTCTTGAAGATAACAATGGCAGGAGATTCAACAATAAGAATTGAGAAGTTTACCGGGAAAAATAGTTTCGGGCTATGGCAAATTAAGATGAAGGCTCTGTTAAAACAACAGCAGATATGGCGTCCGTTGGCTCCAAAGAGTACTACTTCGGAGTCAGGAGACGGACCGACTGACTCGCAGTTAGAAGTTATGGAAGAGAAGGCACACTCTACCATATTACTTAGTCTTGATGATCAAATCATCACGGAGGTTGCTGATCAGGAAACGGCGGCTGGATTGTGGCTGAAGCTGGAGTCATTGTATATGACTAAGTCGTTGACCAACAAATTATTACTGAAACAGCGGTTGTTTAGCCTCCGGATGCAGTCAGGTACTTCCTTACGGGAACATCTAGAAAAACTTAACTCTATTTTGCTTGATTTACGTAATTTAGATGTTAAAATTGATGATGAGGATGCTGCGTTGATTTTACTTGTATCTCTACCGTCTAGCTTTGAGAATTTTGTAGAGTCTTTTGTTGTTGGTAAGGATTCTATAACCTTAGAAGAAGTGAAGGCAGCACTTCATACTAGGGAACTCAGAATGAAAGCTACGAGTGATAATGGGGATAATGGTAGTGGGTTATTTGTTAAGTCCGGAAAGTCTAAAAAGAATAAGGGGTTTAACAAGGGGAACAATGCTGGGTCGGGTGCTGGAAACGGCAAGGATGGATCTAGTAAAACTACTACTAAAACATGTTATTACTGTAAAGAACCGGGTCACTTTAGGAATAATTGTCCGGTGAGGAAAAACAAGTCCCAGGCTGCTGTAGTTGAAGAGAAACCGAATGAGAGCTATAATTCAGAGGAAGATTTAGCATTAGTCAGTTCTGCTAGGTCTGATGATTTATCTGATAACTGGGTTCTAGATTCGGGGTGTTCGTTCCATATGTGTCCACGTCGAGATTGGTTTGATACATATGAACCTCGCAATGGGGGTATGGTTATAGTCGGTAACAATGCTCCATGTAAGGTCACAGGTATTGGTTCCATGAGGTTGAGGACTGTTGATGGGCGGAGGTTAACTTTGACTAATGTACGGCATGTTCCTGCTTTAGGAAAGAATCTGATTTCATTGGGTACCCTGGATGAATTGGGGTACAATGGTGTGTTTTCAGATGGGGAGTTGTGTATTTTCAGAGGTTCTGAGTTGGTACTTAAGGGTATCAAAAGGAACACCCTCTATGTTTTTGAGGGTGTTACACTGCCTAGTTCTGCGGTTTGCGCATCTGTATCTCACCAGGAGATGACTAAGATTTGGCACATGAGGCTTGGTCATATGGGGGAGAAGGGGATGCAGCTATTGTCCAAGAGGGGTCTTCTATCCGGGGTCAAGGTTGCCAACCTTGAATTTTGTGAGCATTGTGTGTTTGGTAAGAAACAC